AAAAAAAAAAAAAAAAAAAGAAAACAGAAGAAAAATTCATTCAGTAGACGGCATTAAGGAAAGGCTAGATTAGGCGAAAGAAAGAATCTCAGAGCTAAAACACAATACCTTTGAATTAAGCAAGTTAGGCAAAGAGAACAGAAAATATAAGGAATGAGCAAAGCCTACAAGAAATTTGAAATTATGTAAAGAAGCCTAACATAAGAATCACAGGCATCCTGAAGATGAAGAAGAAAACACATAAGGGTTGGAAAACCTACTTGAGGGAATACTTGAGGAAAATTTACCAGGTCTTACTAGAAATCTGGACATCCAGGTACTAGGAGCACAATGGACTCCTGGGAGTGTCATCACCAAGAGGCGTTACCACACATATAGTCATCAGAAAGGCCAGAGTTAACATGGAAGAGGAACTCCTATGAACCATGAGGCAGAAGCATCAGGTAACTTACAAAGGAAAACCTATCAGACTAAATGCAGACTTCTCAGCTGAGACTGCACAAGGAGCAAGGGCCTGGGCCCCCATTTTCCATCTTCTCAAACAGAATAAAGGGTCAGCCTAGAGTTTTATGTTCTGAAAAGCTAGGTTTCTTATAGAGGGAGAAATAAAGACTTTCCCAGATGGGCAAACACGAATGGAATTTGTTAAGACCAGACCTGCCCTGTAGGAAGCACTCAGAACTGCATTATACATGGATCAGTACAGTAGACTCCTACCAGTATAAAACCAATCAAAAGCTAATGGTTGGAGCCTAGCTACCACAGTGGCAAAGAGGTAAAACAAAGCAACAAAGTTCTACTTAACAGGTTGAACAGAAATCCACACTTACCCATTCTTTCAGTAAATGTAAATGGCTTGAATTCCTCACTCAGGAGATATAGGTTGGCTCAATGGATTAAAAAGAAATACAAGTTAGGTATCTGCTATCTTCAGAAAACACATCTACGCCAAAAAGATTCATTCAGACTCAGTTGAAGGGATGGAAAACAACATTTCATGCAAATGGAAACTAAAAGAAAGCTGGTATAGCCATTCTCATATCAGATAATATAGTTATCAACACAGAGTAACTATTCAAGGCCCAACAGTCCTTTGCATTATAGTTTGCTTTCTGGTCAGCATTTGGC